TGTTAACCTTAGGCCAGGGGGTGTCCTGAGCTGGCCCTCAGGTGTCACAGAGCCACAGTCAAGCCTTGGTTATAAAGGTTGGCAGCACCACTGGAGGAGCCACCACAGACAGACAAAGTCTGAGCCAGGAACACAAAAACCCAGCCTGACTCTTAGGAAAGTGGAAAAGCTCTATGAAACAAAATCAACTTCCCATCCTCAGAGGATCCTCAGTGTGCCCTGTGGCACAGAGCAGAGATGTCTCACCCATCCCTAGAATTTGTGATCATTTGTGTCCCACATCACCCATGACCCGTGCAGCATTGGGTATCTGGCTTGCTCACAGGTGCTTTGACCAAAGGGATGTTCACAGCTCCCACAGCACTCACCAGCATCTAGGTCTCTCCTAAACAAAACCATCTTTTCACTCCTGGTTAATGAGAAATCTTAGTTCCATGACTCATTTATTTCTGCCACCAACTTTATCACTGATGTGCTTTCTGATGTGGCAAGACATAAACTACACATTTTCCAGATCAGGATGCACTGGTAAAGGCATAATAACCCATGACATTTTAGGCTGGTTTTCCTATTCCAGCCTCTGTTACTTACAGTGTATTTTTTTGTTTATGCTAGTTGATCTCCTGGCTCTTCACAGCAATTCCCAGGTCTTCTTTTCCCTAAAAGACTCAGCTGTGCCTGTGAACAGTTCAAGTTGTGTCCTTCTATATATATTGCCTTGCATATGCCAACATCTATTTTATCAATCCTATTGCTCCAAATTACCTTTCAAGTGATTTGGAATTCATCAACACCTCCTTTAAGCTTTGCTGGACTAAAAACTTCTGCATCTGCAAATTCACTGCTACTTTTTGACTACTGAAATAATCAATTGTCAGTTTCAGCACAGATATTTTCAACCAGCTCTGTCTGATTGCAAGTTTATCATTTATTTCTTTGCCCTCTGGCTCTTTACCAGTCTCATACATCAGGAAAGTGCCTGTCCACTTAGAGTCTGATGTATTTCTTATTGTCACAGCACATTGAGACATAATCATTCAGCACTGAGGAATTGCTGCTGCCAATTCCATCCCGATTTACATGTGCACAGCTGGCTGTCCTTTGTTACTGATTTATCACATTTGCCCACCCTGGCAGTGTGCACTCTGCCTTGTTCTCATCATCAAAAGCCCACAAGTAAAACCACATGTCTTTTTACACATATTTTTGCACCTGCCTGCATGCCAATGTTTGTTGTGAGTCCAGCACATCCTCATCTCTCCAGGGGCTCGGTGCTTCCTTGCTTGTGCCTGATCTGCCCTCACAAAGCCCAAGAACTCCCTGGGCCTCTTCCCAATATCCTTGTGCCTGTGAGCCTGCCCTCAGTCTAAGCAAACTGAGCAGCAGTTAAGCACCATCTTCCCCATTTAGCTTGTCCCCCTCCCAGATACAACAGTAGCATTTTATTCCCATTATCCCCAGTTTAACCCACTTATGGCCAAACCCAATTTACAAAATATTAGGGGAAGTAACAGGGAACCTAAACATCAAAGACAGAGCGAAGGGTTGAGTGTTGGTTTTAACTGGAGCATTGCAGTGGTGCAGTTTCAATCACAGCTGGCCCTGCTGGAGCAGCACAGTGAGGGCACAGACCGGTCCTGGCTTGGAGCAGAAACAAGCAGGTGAGGAGAGGAGATGGGGAAAGGGGGGTGTGGAATACAGGGGAGGCAGAACAAGGATGCCTTAAGCCTCATTGCAAACCTCCAGCCACATCAACAAGGATGCCTTAAGCCTCATTGCAAACCTCCAGCCACATCAAGAAGCTCCTGACACAGGTGAAAACCCACTGAACAAGCACAAAGTGAAATCAGCTGTTAATCCAAACAGCAAATACATAGCACATGCATGAAGAGTAAACCATCAGGTGTATACAGAAAAACTAATGGTAGTTTTAAGTCTTTTTGAAATGCCTTGATATTTTTCACTGAGAATATAAGATTTATGACTTGAGAATATAAGATTTATGACTTGCAAGTTAAGAATTAACTCTAAAACAGTCCTATAAAAGACAGATGAAGAAGGAAGTACAACAAAAATCAAAGGATGTGGTGAAAGTCAAAGTCGAGAAGAACTGCAGAAGAAATTAACTTCTCCCATTCAAGGCTAAAACTAACCACAAAGTACAAAATCAAACTGGCTCAACTAACCACAGGAGGGTCAACAAAATCAGGCTTTGGGTGAGAGGCATAGATAATTCTCTGTCCAGAAACCTCTATTTTCTGCATTCATCTTTACATTGAAGTTGAAAATACCAGCCTTGCCCCATGAGAAATGAAACTTTGCTGCTGATCTTGCACATGTTTTGGTTTATGTTTTAAATATTAGCTGTATGTTTTTCTTTGAAGTAAAATTTGTTATACCTTTTTTTAATGATAATTTCTGGTCTTTATTCCATAGTTATCATTTTCTTTAAAGTTCTTTTAAAACTACTTTGAAGATCATTGCAGCAGATTCTTCAAACTCCACTGATCTCTATCAGATTTGGGTGGGGGAAGAGGCAGGACCAATATTTTTAGTGTTTCTGCAACAATCCCATACCTTGACTCTAAAAAACAGGCATTTACAAGCACTGTTTTCTCACCCAAACTAGTCCTGTCTTCTGAAACTCACACTGGAGCAGGAGTGACCATGACAGGCTATTTTCTTGCAAGGATATTTTCTAATATCCTCCAGAGCAGGCACACCAGTTTTCTGGAATTTAACTCAGTTGATTTGGTTCCTCTTGAATTTGTCACCACAAAAATTATCAAAGGAAAACACAAAAAATTAAAATTTTTTTTTTTTTTAAAAGCTATCAGCCAGATGTTGTGAAGATAAGAATTAGCCAAAATACAACACCCTTGAAAACTGGCCATGAAGTTCCTGAGTCTTGGCTGGCCAGCAGCTGTCAGTCTCAGAAAGCAGCTGATAATCCATAGGAGAAGCAAAACAGCCAAATTCACAGGGGGATACTGGCAATAGCTGCAAATTTAAAGAAAATAAAGGGGACGTAAAGGTGTTAATGTTAAAACACTGAGTATGATCCTAGGGGTGCAACATAGCAACAGAATTCTGAGACTCAGAGGTTATATCCAAAATCAGATTGTTTCTCTTCTCTATTTACATTGGCAACTTCTCCCCACTGCTCCAATAGTAACTCTTGAAAAGCATGAAAACCAGTTGCACCAGTGAAGAGCAGTGCAGTGTCCCCAGGTACCACACATTAAAACAAATTACCTTCTCCCAGGACCTCAGGTGCTTCAGTCTGGGAGCACCAGACTCTGAATAAACTGAATAAACTTCAGTCAGAAGGTGTATCCTAACTCCAGGCAGCTCATGACCATCCCTTCCCACTGCTTCAAATGAAATCTCAGCACCTCATGCTGAGGGCAGCGCTGGGAGAACCACTTTGCTGAAAAATATTTGCAGTTATTCCAAACAGATGAAGGTTTGGCATCTTTGGAGGTGTCCCAGTCCAGAGACAGATTTTGAAAACAGCATTGGTTTGTAAAGGGACTCTGAGCCATGAACTTTTAACCAACAACTGGTTCAGGTTTACCAGCTGAAGCACAATTTTGCAGGGAGAGTCTGGTCTGAAAAATTAAAGAAAAGAACCCAACTATTTTTTCAAAAAAATGTAATTTTGAGTTGTCACCTGCCCATGCAATCAGAGAAACAAGCCATTTGCTAAGAGTTTAGAAACAAGAATCATGGAAGAATGAAGCAGGCAGTTCTCATGTCTCCTCAAGGAATGAGCAACACAGAGTAGAGGAGCAAAGCGAGAGCGATCACAGGCTCACAGACCTTTCCCAATCCACTCGGAGTGCCCACGTGCCAGCTGCTCTGTGCCACTGGAAACACACATTGCTGATCTCTCAGCTCAGAGGGAAGAGCAGGATTTCAGAGCAGGAGAGCAGGGAGTGTGTCCCCGTTCCTGCAGGGAAGATGAAAGCTCATTATTCCCAGCACGATGTCAGCCACGCGCTTTCCAGGCAGCCACGGCTGTGTTAGAGCAGCACAGGGAAATCTTCCTGGGCCAGGCAGCTTTCTGACCACAAGAGACACTTAAAGCATCAGTGCCCAGTGTCCCTGTTGTCACACAGCTGAGTACAGTGTACAGCCCTCTTGTCCATCATCTGACAGCACAATCTCTGCTAAAACCAACATTTTAGGACACTTCACGTTCAGATCTGCATCTTACAGATAAAGCAGGAGCATCTTTGAAGCACTAACTGACTTGAAAGCCACTCAACAATTGCACAGTAAGGCAACCTCCAGCTTTCATGTGCCCCAACATGGCAAATGAATATGTGGGTTATAAGAACAATTCACTCATGAGGCATCTGTACTTATAGGAAGTGAAATACAACCATTTGTGTCCTACCATCTGTGCCAGCCCTATTGATAAACCCCCTGACAGGATGAAATAGTGCTCCTGTAAAGGCATCCTTAACCTAATATGCCTCCACAGCACTGGACTGGACTAGGTTTGAAAAACAGCCTCTTATAATACACAGATGAATTTAGCACTTAAGAAGATTAATGGATTCATAAATAGCCTGGAAATCCTAACTCATTGAATTTAGTTCACGGAACAGGTCAAATAGGCATTTATCAAACCATCTGGCATTTTGATTCCCTGGGGAAACTGTGGTCGAGCTGCAGATAACTGAGAAGCCATTGCAGCAGGGAAGGCTTGGTTTTCCCTGTACTCAGCTTTCCTCTGGAAATCTCTGGCACTAATTAGAAAGCAGTAGATCTTTTTGGACAGAAGTGTATTTCTATATAGTCACTTATATTTCCAAGTGTTGCTGCTTAACACAAACATAAGCATGGTCAAGTTCTAAGTGAAAGTACTTATGTTGCAATAAATAGGTTGTTGTTTGCTCTAGGCCATGAAAGGACACTCGTGTGCACCCATTTGAGCAGCCTACAAAAAAAAAATCACCAGAGTTGGTCAAGGATCTCAAAAAAAACCAACTAGGTTTGAGCAGTTAATTTATTTTTGTGAGTAAAATATCAAATTATTTTATTAATATGTTTTGATACATAAAACACCATTCTTTCTGGTATTAGCAGATATATTAGCAGCTTTCACTGAAGATTTCAAAGATAAAACACTTAAAATGTTGTATAAAAGAAGATTATCAGTATGGCATAATATGACACACTAAATGGTACATATTAGTGGTGGAAATACAGATTATTTCATAGGGCCTGGTTGCATTTGTCATCACTGTGCTCTGCCCCTGCTGCCATGCCATGAAACAACCTACAAATAAAAAAAAATTATTCCTTGAAACAATATATTCACTGAAAAAATAAACATATTGAAATGATGGGAATAAGTAGGTTAAGTTTAAGTAGCTTTGCCTCAGAGAGGACTGTTTGGACAAACACAGGTCCATCTGGTTCTCCCACACCAGTGCCAGGATAACGGGGGGGAGAAAGGATCAAAATCCTGCCTGGGGTCACTGCAAGCATACTGTGCCCACCCCAGACCTGCCTGGGGCTGGTGCCTCTCCAGGCACTTTCGTCCTTCCCATGAGGCCCAGTGCTGCATCCCTGGATGTCACCAGGACTGCCCTGCTCCCTCCTGCACCCAAGGGGGGAAATCAGGAATGGTTTCCCATTGTTCAGCAGCGTCTGCCGTGGGTGTGGGTGTGGGTGTCTGTCAGGACATGAAGAGGGCTCTGGTTTTGCGGCCTCATCTTGCTCTCACGAAGCTGAGTCACCACGGAACATCTCGCTCTCACGAGTTGGCCTGGTGGAACAAACACCCCACAGACAGACCCTTCTTCCCTCCATTCCCAGCAGGGAACATTACACATCTCTAGGCAAAATTCAGTATTAGTGCTGCTCATCTCCCTCTGAGTATCCAGGAGGCTCTGGGGCACCCACAGGGCAGGTTTGTAACCCAGAGTGGGACTCAGATTTCACCAGCTCCCAGGGGAATCTGGAACCAGATCCAACAAACCCAGCCTGGAAGATTTTGGAGCCCATTATGTATCAGAGGCTCACAGTAAAACTTTTCTCTCATGACTAAGTAGGTGCAGGGTCTAAATGCTTAAGCAGAACCCCTGCTCCATCCAGCCCTTGGACTATTTGCACAGCAGAACAATCACTGTAAAAAGTGCTGGGAGGTACAAGGAGGAAGAGTCAGCCTTGGTTCTTTCTTCCCCCATGCCAGAAGAAACCCCTTCAGTCTGTCCATCCGGCTGCGTGGTGTTACTGTACACCTCAGTGGCATTTGCCACCTCTTCGGGAAGGCCCATCTGGAGCAAGAGTTTGGAGATAAGGCTGTTGAACTTGCTCTCTGTGGTGGACCAAGGCTCCTCGCTCGGGCCCGGCCCCTCAGACGTGATGTTCAGCTCCACCGGGTCGAGGCAGTAACCCTCGGGAGACCTCTCGAAGAGCACGTCCGTCAGATCAATGCCAGCCACGGAGGAGGGGGAGGCACACGGAATATCCCTGACGAGCCTGTAGTTCTCCATCCACTCCTTGAGCCACTCGATGCGGCAGTCGCACTCCCAGGGGTTGCGGAAGAGGTACAGGCGCCCCAGGAAGTACACGGGCTCGAACACCGAGAAGGGCAGCGTGGTCAGGTTGTTGCTGTTCAAGTGCAGCGCCACCAGGCTGGTGAGATTCTCAAAAGCCCCTTCCTCGATGTAGCTGATCCTGTTGCGGTCCAGGTAGAGGAACTCCAGCTCCCCCAAGTCCCGGAACCAGGTGTTGGAAATGTTCCTGAGAAAATTCCCCCCCAGGTTGAGCATCTTCAGGCGCCTCAGGCCATCAAAGGAGTTTTCTGGAAGCTCACTGATCAAGTTGTCATTCAGGTACAGGTACTCCATCCTCTGACAGCCCTGAAAAGCTCGCTCATGGATGACATTTATCTTGTTGTCCTGCAGATTCAGGTATTTCAGCTTAGTCAGGCCCTGCAGGGAGTTATAGGCCACCGCTTCGATCCTATTTCTCTCCAGGTACACATGGGTCAAGTTCTCCATGCCCCTGATGGCGCCTGGGATCCTTCGGAAGTTGTTCTGGAAGCAGAACAGCTCCTGCAGAGCGGGCAGCTCGATGAAGATCCTGTCTGGGATGTTGAAGAGGTTGCAGTCGGCCAGGTCCAGCCTCACGAGGCGCCGGAGCGCGGTGAAGGTGCGAGTGTGGAGATAGCGAATGTACTCGTTGTGGGCCATCTTCAGCTCCGTCAGGCTGGGCAGCCCCTTGAACGCCCCTGGAGTGATGAAGGAGATGTTGTTGTGGTTGAGAGACAGGGACTTGAGGGAAGGCAGTGTCCCAAAGGCCCTCTCGGACAGGAACTTGATGCTGTTTTTATCCAGGTTGATGGAAGAGGCTTCGCAGGGGAACTCGCTGGGGATCTGCCCCAGCCCAGCACGGTCACAGAGCACGGAGCAGCTCCTCTCCGGCGTGCACACACAGCTGGGAGGGCAGGAGCGCACACAGGCCCACACCCCATGGACCTGTGGGACCCAAAGGATCACTGCCATCCCCACAGAGGCGGGGCAGGAGAGAAAAGAATGCATCATTAGCAAATTAGTCACAGCAGCAAAAAGAAATTACACTGTCTTTTCATCCCCTCTAGCCAAGCTAATTTCCACCTGTACACCAGTGCTGACTGAGGAGCTCTTGTGTAAAATCCCTACAAATCTTCTGGGGTTTCTAAACCTGCTGAGAATACATGTCACCTAGAACATAATCTCTGATTAATTCCTGTCCCCAAGAGGGGGTTTGCCTAGAATTCAGTATTTCTCAAGTGCCTCTGTTGGGGTCTCTCTGCTGCCCAACAGGTACATGCTTTGGCCAAGGACCAGGCAGAAATGCATTGAAGGCCAGCAGCTGTGGGTGGGTTACAGCATTCCTGGGTCTGGAAAAGGGGAGGGCAGTGTATGCTGAGTCTGGCAATGGGCAGAGGAGATCAATTAATTGCCCAAAGTGTGTCAAATTCATCCCATCCTTTCCCTTTCCCTTTCCCTTTCCCTTTCCTTTTCCTTTTCCCTTTCCTTTCCTTTCCTTTCCTTTCCTTTCCTTTCCTTTCCTTTCCTTTCCTTTCCTTTCCTTTCCTTTCCTTTCCTTTCCTTTCCTTTCCTTTCTCTTTTATTTCAAACTAATGTTTCTCCACCAGAGCCATGAGCTGGTGCAGCACTGGAAAGGGAACTCTCAGCTCTCAAGGAGATGCAATGAAGTGTTTGAAAACACATTCCTACTGTGTACTGGTACAACAGCACGAGTAAAAACAAACTGAGAGATATTGTTCAAATGCTGGCTTTGTCATCTCATCATAGATGGGAAGCTCTGCATTTCCAGCACAGTTTTTGCTGCTTTGCCAGTTCTCAAGACAGTCACCATAATGTCATTTGTTTGATGGGAGCAGCCACTCTGTCCTTTACCAGCCTGACACGGGAGGTGCAAGGCTGTTCTTTCCTCCCAGGTTAGTCCCACACAGGTGGGTGAACAACAAGGAAGAGAAGGCAGCTCTTGGGAGAAATGAGAGAAGAACCAAAAGGAACAAAAGGAGACATCAGCCTCCACAGACCTGCTTTTTTGAAGAGAAAAAACATCCAGTCAAAAAAAAATCTGAAAAGTGGTTTGTTTGTTTTAGTGCAAAATGGTTTTCCCCTCTGAAAGAGAGGAAATTTAGGTTAGATATATGGAAGAAACTCTTCACTGTGAGGGTGGTGAGGCCCTGGCACAGGGTACCCAGAGAAGCTGTGGATGCCCCAACCCTGCCAGTGTTCAAGGCCAGGCTGGATGAAGCTCTGAGAAACCTGGGAGAGTAGAAGATGTCCCTGCTCATGGCAGGGGGCTTGGAATGAGATGATCCCTTTTAGATCCCTTCCAGCACAATCCTTTTCCTGATTCCATGAAAATAAACTCTTTAGAGAGGAAGAACAGAAGGCAGTTTTTTTAATTGCTCTCCCAGACACATCCTACCTTCTCCTCAACAAAATGAGCAGCCACACCAAAGATCTCCATGCAGTCACAAGCACAAAGTGGTGCTATTGCTGCTGACTGGTTTTCTGCTGCAGTTTATTAGCTCCCATACAAACATAACCATTTTCTTATTTTTTTCCAGCAAAATATGAGATACCAACAGCTTTCCCAAACAGCCACCTCTATTACTGTGCTGCCGGGATCAGGGGGGTTTCCTCCATATTCCTGCTGAGTGTCTAGAGGGGGAAGCTGCCAACAGCTGGGCTGCCTCTCCCTGTGGTTTGCAGCACAGAGATTGCCCACCACAGCTGTATTCCCATGGGCATTTTCAATAAGACAGACTTGTGAGGTCATATGCCTGGAAGCATCAGCTTCAGCAAGCATCAAGTTTTATTTCTGCGGGCCTTAAGGCTTTAATGTACAGGACAAACAACAGTTTGGGCTACAATTGCTCTGCTTTTCCTCCATCCTTTCTAAAGACAACTTGCATGGGACTGTATTTAGGAGTTTGCACTGCCTGTGTAAAGGAGACTTGCAAAACCAGTTGTTGGGCAGGTCCCCGCTGAAGGGCATCAACCCAGGAGCTGCCCTGGAGCCTGGGTCAGTTCAAACCATTCTGGTTATTGCATGTAGGAAAGGTATTTAGATGCACAGAGAGAGCATCACAAAAGGATGAGCTGTGGCCTCTTCATCAAAATTCAAGTCTCATGATGACGGGCACACTATTGTGACTGCAGAATTAGAAAAACAACATCACTTCAAGGATAAATGATAGTGAAGGACTCTGGGAGGTAGACAGGATTTTAGACATCTTGTCATTTTGTTTGTCTGCTCTTCCTCTTTTTCCCATGCCCTTATCTAACAGTCACAGCTATAGGAAAGTCCCCTCCAGTCCCCCTGACAACAGCTGGAGTCTAAGGACAAGAAGGGGAACAATATGCTGGTCTCAGATTGCTCTTTCTTTGTGTAGCCTGCCCAGGGGCTGCTTCTTTTGCTCCCCTCTGCACCAGTCCATCCTCTGCGTGCCAACAGGGGCATATGTTGTTTTTGCTAGGCAGTTACATAAACTGAGGGCCAGACAGATTAAGGATTTGCCTGTTCCCAAATGTCTGACTGCAGTTGGTTGTCTGGAAAATGATGGATGCAAGTGTTGCTGCTGGTAGGGAGCCTTGTGTGGGTTCAGGGTGACATCCAGAGGGGCATTTGTGCATAGGCTGAGCTATAGGTGAGGCTGTCCTGAGCAAGCTCCATGCTCAGCTCCAGCTGCCCCAAGCTCAGTCACATCCCCAGCCCCCCATCCACACTGCTGTGCATATGGTGGGCAGTGTAGGAATGAGCCTGCTGATAATCAAATCCCCTCCTTCCCCCCGCTGCTTATTCCCTGATCACTCAATAAAGGAAATGTCTGCCCCCAAGCCATATCCAGCCTGTTTTCCTTATACACTAGTGCCAAATCTGGGTCTTCTGCTTGTGGTTATTCATAGCAGACTTCTAATATCTCAATTTACAAGTGCACCCTTGCAATGTGCTGGACATGGAAATCAAGAGCGTGAGGACCATTCAATGAGAAAATATCCCCCAGCAACAGGAGCTCAGGGAAACCCCTCAGCAATGCAGCCTTTGTGGGCAATTTACCCTCTTTCTCCTGGAAAGGAAGTTGAAAAAATCCTCCACCTGAACCCTATCAAACCCTCAGGAGAGGTGTTGCTCAGGGCAAAAGAGATCAGTTCTTCCTGCTGACAAGATCTCCTCTGATCAGAGTAGCCTGAAACGTTCCCATCTTTCCCATCTCATTCCTTCCCCTTCCCTAAAAAAGGATGTTCACAGACAGGGCAGCAGCTGGAAACTTTCAGCGACTCAGTGGCACATCTGAGCACTCAAATGAGACGTGTTTGAGCAAAAGGGTGAAATAGATCAGTAAGGTCAAAAATATTTATGACATTAAAGAATAAAAAAATTTCCTCCCATGGATGATATCTTTTGCTCTTTTAAATATTACACTAACTCAGTATATGGAAGACAGAGTGAGAGACCAAAGGAAAAGAAACAAAAAAGAAAGAGTCTTAAGAAGGTAAAGAGACAATGATTGCGATAATTGAATATGTAACCGCCACCTTTCCAAATGATCTGTCTAATCCACTACTGGATAATGCAGAATAAGAGTATACTCACCATTTAGAATGATGGCAAACATTACCTTGATTATTCTCAGGCATTTCAGGTCTGGCAAGCAAACTTGAGGGATCTAAAAGCACACAGGAAGACTAGAGATGGGTTTCATCCTCTGTCATTTCCCTGCATCATTTTTCCACAAAAAGATCTATGTTTAGAAAGGAAGATGAAGGAAAATGCTCTTCTCTCACACACTTTCAAACTGAAGAAGTCCCCAGCACCTTCCTGGTGAGGATCTTTCTTCCACCACTGACCTTCTCAGGGAATCCTGCAGCTTTGTGCCACTGCTTTTCAGGAGCTCATTCGTGTCCTTCCCAGAAGCCATGCCAAAGGCAGATTCCTGTCATCTGAGGTGGGAAAGGATCACCAACAGTAAGAGACTGGCTCTACTCCCAGGAAACAGGTGCTGGTACAGAGGAGCGTAACCATCAAAGAGTGGAAACCAAAATTCCCAACAGAAATCACCCAGACGTGTGGCTTACCTGGCCAGGCAGTGGCTGTGTCCTCCCTCCTGCTCATGAGGCTGCCCTTAGCCACACGAGCCAGTCTCTGAAAAGTTGGCATTTTTTTCTCACAAGCTATCATTTAATGGCAGGAAAATCCTCTGTATCAGAGGAGGATTAGCGGAGATGGAAGAATGTGTCTGTCCTCTAAAGCTCCCAAAGCGAAACAGGGATTGCAGACGAACCAAACGGATGCCTCCTCCCCTCTGCCAACCTGCTCTCCCCCCACCATTAAAAAAAAAAATACAGTCCAGGATTGGACTGCTGCCACTCAAACAGCATTGCTGAAAGTCATTACTTCACTCCCCATTATGTAATGGCAGAAGAGGTGGGAGAGTGCTGCCTAAATGGAATTAAATTTGGGGGCAATCACAGGCTTATGGCTTGCCTGCACTGAGCTCTCCAAACAGACACAGCTTGAGACTCTCAACCCCCATGCACATTTTCCCAGCCCCAACATGGCTCAGACACTACTAACAGAGTGCCAGTGGGCTTTGCTTCACTAGGAATTGCTCCTGAAGGACAAGGAGATACCAAGAGCGTTGGGAAAAGGGTCAGCAAACACAGGGAGCTTGCACTGTGTGTATGGCCTTGACAATAATGAATTCTGGCCTATGAGTGTGTTTTCCTTGTGATGCAGCAGCTGGTGCATGGAAATCATAAGGATGGCTTCTGTATGTGGTGATGTTTTAGCATTCAGGATGTGAATTTGAGTTTAAAGCCTTTTCTGACAGAATGATGATGGTTTCTTTGGAGAGTGGGGGCTGAATAAGTGAGTTATCTCAGCCTCCCATGCCTTGGGTAATTGCATTCACCATGTCAGAGGGAAAAATAGCTCCACTCTTTATTTCCAAGTGAATTATTCTGCTTTATTATTTTTTTTCCCAGGAAATGGAATACCTGATGAATTTATGCTTGATGCAGCAAGAAAGATTCAGCTGGGAACCAGCCTGCTGCTGCACAGCACTTCCTGCAAATTAAAACACCCAGCTACATCAGGTTTATTTTGGTTTGGCTTTCCCTCAGTCTTCAGGCATCTGGCTGGCACCTCAGGAAATTTGTCTGTCCCCAACAGAGTGTAAGCAGGCTGTGCTGGGGGCAGGCTGGAAGGCAGGGAGTGACCCACAGAGCACAGATTTTAGCTGAATTTTAGGTTTTAAGCCTTTCCTCACCACCTGCTGTAATAAACCCTCCAGCTTTGCACTTCAGTGCTTTGCACCGCGCTGTTTTGCAGAGGAGGAAAGAGATTTGCAAAGCCACAGACGGGCACGTTGCAGCCTCCAGCACAGAGCTGAAGCTGCTGGAGACCTCGTGGTGACAGACCCAGCTCCAGCTGGGTCCTCCCTGCTGCTGGGGCAGCTGATGTTTGCCCTGGAAGCCCTGGTTCCCATGAGAATGCCAGGAAGCCACAACCTACCTGACCACAGAAAGCAGATCACTGACCTTTCAGCCATGAAGAAACTGAGCGGGGAGGAGGAGGAGCAAGCGCTATTCCCACTTCTTTCTTCCCCAATATCTGCAAGAGCCTTATCAGGGGTACCAGGAATCATGTCTCTCTTGTGTCGGCAAGGGGGAGGCAGCGGGCGAGAAGGGTGTGTGGGATTTGGGGACAAACTGGTGTCTGAGCAGCTTCACACAGCAACACCAAACCTGCTCACAGGGAGGGGATGCTCTGCACCAGGACACCACATTCCTCTGAGATTTTGGGGGTCCCCTGTGCCTCGCTGCTCTTCTTCCATGTGCCCATATTAGGGCTGGAGGGGTGGGACATGAGGGACCACTGAGCCTGGGGAAGTGTTTCTGTGATCAGCAGAACCACCTCCCTCAGAGGAGCAGCTTGCAGGACCGACAAATCATTCCCAGTGAAGGGCACTGGGAGCCTCTGCTATACACAGAGGCTGGGTGGGAGCTGATGGGCTGGGGACTGGTGTGTTTGATAACCTGGGAGCTGAGAGCACCTCAGCAGCCCCTTTTTGGGGCGGGGGGCAGTGGCAGTAGGTGCCCACTGGGGCATCAGCAGCCGCAGTGCGATGAGGTGATGCTGCCGCAGCTGGAGGGAGGCTGGCAGGGAGGGAGCACTTCTCAGAGAGCTGCTGCAGCAGGCAGCCTCACCAGAGACCAGCACAGACAGCATTTGCTCCTGTGGGAGCTTCTGACAGCAGCTGTGCCATCGGCATCCAGCCCACACACACAACTTCAGTGACTGCAGCTGGCCCAGCCCCACCCTGGATTTTCGACCATGGCTGGAGGTAAAACAGCTGGAAGAGGTCGTGTCCTGCCCCATCAGGAGCCCTCCCAGCCCAGCCTCACCAGGCACACTGTGCTGGCACACCCGGAGCTCCTCCTGCCCAGCAGCAGCAGCAGCAGCTCCACAGCTCACGGCACTGTACCTCTCTGCACCATCCATGGGCAGGAGCCTTGCACAGCTGCAGCCCCTGGCACAGAGAAGACATTAACATCTCAGCATGTGCTGGGGGAGGCTGGGGAACTGGCACTGGCAGGCAAATGAGGTCCCAATTTCTAGGAAAGCCAGGGAGCGTCGCCCTGTGAGCGGCTTCAGCAGAGCACTGCAGGTGCACCAAGCACAGCACCTAATGCCCTTGTGAACTGCTGGAGACTCCTGACTCATTTCCTGATAACCATTGGCACCGAAAGGGCATGACAGTGTGAGAAGGAGGCCTGAAAAGGAGAAGTTTCTAGTCATTTTAGGTAGGAAAACATAAAGGAGACCAGCATGTATTCTCTAAAGAAACAAACTTGGGCTCTAAACCACATCTCAGCATTATTTAGAGCATGACTCATGGCTGGTTAATGCTGAGGGTTGAGCACACTACAGGTGCTCAGTGTTGGGAAGGTGCTGTGGCTGCCAGGCTGGAAGTAGACTCAGAAGCTACAGACTGTGCTACTGCAGCTCTGTGCTGTTAATTTTTTTTTGCCACCAGGAGTTCCTCCTCATGATCTATCCTGCTCTTTTTAATCTCTGGGAACTCAGAGAAGCCAGAGGTCAGTGTCTCTCTGTGGAGACAAGACCAGAAAGCTGCAGAGATATGCTGCCACTGAAAAAAAAAAAAAAAATCAATAGATGTTTATATCTGATCTTCCACTAAAAGAATTTGGAGAATTGAGTCCTGATTGAAGGAGCCCACTCTGCTCCAGAGGTGTATGCTGCGGGAACATAAACCTTGGCATAGCTTCACCGTCTGGCAGTGAGGAGAAGTCTGCCTTGCAGGGCAATCCTGTGCAGACTTGGTGCAAAGATTCTAAAAACCGATTTCTTAATGACCAGGGGCATTTTATGTGATCGTCACTTAAGGATATGTAGGTAGCTCCTATCTCTAATATACATTGATATGATTTAAAATTGCCTCTGTGGACTGCTTCTTGCAGATTAAAATATTCCCATTATTTACCAAGTTTGTTCAAGAACAACTGGTGGGACTCATTTTACCTAACTGGAGGTGAGAGGTCTCATCTCACCCACTTTAGCCACTTAGCTATGGGAAGCACTGTGGCCCTCAGCAGGGCTCACTTTCTCTAACAGAGGATGACAAGACAGCCAAGGACATGCAGCTTTGGTGACACCAGTGCTGGATTGGCTGGAACCAAGCACATTTAGACACTTCCAGCCAGGTGTTGCCTTCCTCGGAGTAGTGAAGGAGCAGAGCTGCTGGCCTGACTCTGGTGGCTGAACACCTTCACTCCCTGGTTTTTATCTCTATCAGCTGCTTGCAATCATGGGACCAGTGCTGGGGGTGAGGTCCTCGTTCCATAGAGCGCCCGAGCCTGTCCACCTTCCCCAGGCTCTGGTTTCCTGAGCTTGTGTTACAGTGGTCACAGCATGATGCATACTTCTCCTCACAGCCACAGCTGTGTCACACATCTGAACCTTTCCTGTGCTCGTAATCACCGGGGTGACCTTTGAAGGAGCCACCTCAGCGCTCCTCGGCAGAGCTCATGTTGTCAGCACTGCCTGTGGGACCAGGCTGCTCCCAGGATGGGCACACACAGCCCTGGCTGGGGTGAGCTTGGGGCAGGGAGCAGGTGTCCGTGGTGGGATTGCAGAGCTGTGAGCAGACAGGACGGACCAGTGTGGCCGTGCTGTGGTTTGCAGAAATAGCACTTGGTACACATCTGATGTGGCTGCTCACAGGAGACGCAGAAGCAGCTGAGGAGCCAACCAGGACTTTGAGAGCAAGGGGCTGAAGAGCTCTCCCTTGCTCAGAAGAGAGGACAGATCTCCATCTGCAAGCAGGGGTTTCATTTTTGTGTAGACTGAGGCCACCAAACTTCGCTCAGGCATTGAATTTCAGAGCTTCCTCGGGCTGCCGTGCTGTGTCCTTGTCAGCCTGCCTCCTCCTGGTCCCACCCCTGCAGAAGACCAACTTCAAGACACGCTTTGGAGAGAAGAGCTGCTGTGGTTTCCCCTCACAGGTTCCCCCTGTGGATCCTCAGCAAGGAGGGCCTCAAGCTCACACCAGCCCCATTCACCCTCCCACCTGAGCCACATCCCCACCACACACATGTGGGCTGCCATCTCAGAGCTGGGACGGGTTCCTGATGGACCCCTGACTGAGGACTGAGAGCATGTCACAATGCCCAAAGCCAGCCCAAGGACACAGCAGCTGGCAGCTGCCTCACAGCAGGCTGTCTGCAGGAGGAATCCTGCAGGAGGGTTGGTTCTTCACCACCCAGGCTGTGGATGAGACAAGGCAGCCAGCAGCAGCACTTGGCAAGAAACAGCCACCAAAAAGCCACTTAACCACATGGAAAGTGATGAATTAAAATCAATAAAACAGCGGGAAGAGGAGAGGGTCAGGCTGGGCACCAGATCTCAGCCCCAGCCCAGGTGCTGCCCGATGGCCAGGCCGTGCCGCAGGAGAGGCCTGGGAGCCTGCAGCTGCAGCAGGAGCATTTTCTGAAAGGGAACAGCACACTCTAGGGTAGACAGCCTGAAGCAGATGCAGTGCACAGCAAACCACGGGCTGCTCATCTGTCAGCCCAAACCTCTGCCAGCAGCCCCGTAAGACATCACACACATCCCACAGGAAGAGGACAGGGAGACCTGGGGATGGCTCCATCAGGGTCAGATCCTCCCACTGCTTGGCAAGGGCGGGACAGAGATCCTCTCCAAGTCTGTCCAGGCCACTGGATTTTACATCAGCTCACGAGGTCTCTCCCCGCCCATCCTGCAGATGTGGTTTCATGTCTCTCTCAAGCCAATCAAGCATTTCCAGCAAGAAAGGAGCGGTGAGGGCTGCTCTGCAGTGAGGGGCTGGGTGTCTGCCATGGAAGCAAGTTCCTGCTTCCCACTGCAGTACATGGGTATGGACAAAGTGCTGAAAAACAACATCATCTGGGCTGCTGGGTAATTCTCCACAATACCCAGAGCAGTCTTGGGGAAGGAAAGGGAAGCTGGGCTCAGATCTGTATTAACTAAAACTGAAGAGGGATTTGAATCCAAGTTTCCCACATTCACTCTGTGACTCGGCCTTGACAAAAACTGGCAGCCATGCTCAGGGTTCTCTGTTCAGGGAAAAAATGCTGCTGTTGAAGCCTGAACAGGGCTGCATCATCTTCCTCTGCAGGGTGAGGGGAGCCCTGCCCTCCCTCCAGCCCTGATGTGCAGCAGGGCATCACCGCTGTCCAGAGTGCATCAGAGGAGCTCCCACATCACACAGAGGATCGGGATATCCAAGACTGGCAGCACCTGGATTTTCCAGCCTCCCCTCCCTGCTGAAGATGGCACCTGAGGGTGCCAGTGTGGCATGCACAGCCAGGGAGTCCTGGGGGAGTGTGGGCTCATGCCACATTTCCCAGCAGCTGGGGAGCTGCTCTGCTCTGCTCTGTGCAACTGTGGGATCATTTCTATCCTGTGTAATTGTGGCAGGATGTTTCCCCCCACCCCCCCTCATGCTTTGACCTGGAATGTGGTCAAGCAACTCAGTGGAAAATGTCTTATTTGCAAATCTATCAGGCTGGATTGAGAGGGGAGCCCTGTGTTGTTTTGGTGTTGTGTTATGCTAAAAATCAGTCTGGCACACCGACCCCAAATCAACATCCTGACAGTAAGGCAAACCTTTGGCCAGCCAGTAAGTTGCTAAACTGGCCTGGAGGCATAGGACTGGCAGTCAACCCCTTTACACTCTAAAAACCCAGTCCACTTTCCACATAGGAGGTTCTTCTGAGATACCCCTTCCTGGACTGTGTGTGGAGATTCCCCCTTGATGCCCCTCAAGGTTGCTCCTCCAGGCTAAGAGAAAGAGACTTCCCCACTCTGAGTGTTGGTATGGTGAGTTACATCAATGCCTACTTA